GAAGGACAGGAAGGCCTGGCGCAATATGGTTCATGGGGTCACAAAGAGTCGGACACGACTTAATGACTGAACAACAACAGATGGAAAATGTAAGGCTGTGTGAAAAAGAAAATAATTTCTTAGAGGCTTCAGATGGATGGGAGCATCTTAATGAAGTTGAAATATAAAAGAATGTGCAGCACCCTTGGGGCTGGTAGGAACTAGAATGGTTGTGAAGAGTTTATTGAAGCTCGTGTGAACTGGGCTGGTTGTAGAAACCTTATCACGAACATTCCCATAGCTACCAAGGCATCTGTCTTGAAGGAGGCTGTGTTCTTCCTGGCATTTGGCATCTTGAACTGATTTGTTTCTTGTTCTCAGTAAGTCTATTGTTTTCCTTGTAGAAAGCCTTTAGGGTAGTCAGGGAGTCCCAGGTCCAGTGACTTTCATTTGTTTGTAGAAAGAGGACTATGCTCATGATGTTTTAACTCAGCAACACAGGGACTCAAAAAGACCAGTTGTCCTACAACTGTGTCTACAGGCAGTGTTATTGATTGACCCATGAAAAGGACATTTTGTCCAACTCAGTGTAACTGTATATGTGCCTCATGAGGTTCAGGCCCTTTTAAACCATGTTTTACCTATTTCAGCATCCCGCTTCACATCCTATGACATGCAACTCTTGCAGAACCCAAGTGTGACACTTTCTAAAGCACCTCATAAAAATCCAGCTGAATTTTTCCTGCCTCCCATGCAATATCCTTTCACCATAGCAAGCACAAAGCCACAAGGCAATTTGAAAGATGTACCATTTTAATGCAGAATTTGAAATATATTGTGATGGAACTAATTTCATCACAGAGGGGGGAGAGTGCAAGGCAGGCTATGCAGTCACCACAAAACATTCTGTCATAGAACCTGACAGCATTGACCCACCGTTTCAGTCTCATTGAAAGTTACCGCACCATAATGAAACACAGTGTATGAAATAGGTAATTTTTTTCCCCCCATTACCAGTCTAGGCATGAGAGAGGGTGATGGGCTCAAAATCACCCATCTGGCTTCCCTACCTAAGGAGAGACTAAAACTCATGGTCTCCTACCTTCTAGTCCGGCACCTTAACTGATAACCACACTGGCTCTCACTGAGGGTTTATATATGGAATGAAATACACTTGGCTTTGCATAAGAGGGTTGTTGTAAGAAGGAAGAATCATGCTATGGAAAAAGAAAAGTTCATTCTCATCACAGAAATTCAGACATCCATAATTTCTAACAAGGAGTGAATGTTTGGGAATTCTCCTTGCCCACTTGTTCATATCTGGTGGCCATAATCACTTGAGGACTTCACTTTAGGACCTACGTTTTCAGTTCCTCTTCCATTGACCAGAGAAACTAAGAAGTAAAGATGGAACTCTTACCTGATTAGAAAAATCAAAGGTGGCTTGTGTGTAATTTCAGGGACAGAACCTGATATTTGGGGTCTTTGCAATCCAGAGTGTTTCTTCAATTGAGATTTCTCTACAATTTCCATTTTGAAAAGGATTTTAGTTTGCTCATGGGCATCTGCTGTGGGAAATGAGAAGGAACATAAAGATAGAACATGCATCATGAGATTGTGATCCAACCTCCACCTCATTTGGACCTGCACACTGAGCTGCACAAAACCATGTCATTTCCGTGCCATCACCAGTATGCTGACAGTTAGACTTTACTAAAATTCCCATGAATAATAAATCTCAATACATTGGAGTGGATATAGCCAGCTGAATTGGTTGGGTATCGTGGGCTTTGTCATCCTCTCCTTGAGCTGAATTTCATTTGCTGAGTCCACCCTTTCTGATATTCCTCCAGGAGTTCACATGATTTCACTGTCTGAATGTTGATCTGCTGGATAGAAGAGAAATGTACAGTCAGGCTCAATTTCCTGTTTTTGTTAAGAATGACAGTCAACTTGTCCTACTGTGCATCTCGGGCACAGTAATACACGGCAGTGTCAGCAGCTGACAAGGAGTTCAACTGAAGGGAATACTCATTCTTGGAGTTGTCTGAAGCAATAGAGGTGCGGCTTTGAAGGGAAGATGAAAACCATTTTCTCCCATCATGCGGGTAGATTCTGGCAATCCATTCTAACCCTTTCCCTGGAGGCTGACGGACCCAGTTCCAAGCATAGCTACTACTGGTGATGGAGACACCTGTAACTTTGCAGAGCAAATTGAGATTTTGTCCTGGTCTTACAGTTTCAGGCCCTGATGACACGAGCTGGACATCACAGAAAGACCCTAAAGAAGAAGGAGAAAAATAAAATCAGGATTCACATACATCATAAAAATTCAAAAAAAAAATCACAAACACTTTCTCTAAAATTGTGTACTCACAGTTTGGCATGGCTATCAGAGAAAAGAAAAAGAGCAAGAAATTCATAGTGTCTTTTTAAACAGATTTTCTGCAGTTTCACATGTACACTTTGAAGGAAATGTGGAGATCCAAAATGAGGGCCCTGCTTTTAAAGAGGAACATTTCATGATGATATTTGCATAAGCCCAGTGAGCTGTAAATTAGCTCTTAGAAAGCAAAGTCCAGAGGTGACCTTGTATTCTTTAGGAGAATCCATCAAAAGCCCATGTCCCTCACTCCCTACAACTCATAATCCACAACCCAGCCCCAATGCCTGGAGGAAAGGTCAGGTTTTCACAGCATTGTCTCTGCCCTATCCAGATCTCTGTGGTGAGGTTCTTCTACAGGGCAAACTTCTCAAGACTCATTATCTATCACTGTAAAGTGCTTGAGAAAGATTATCTTTTGAGCCCACAATATACCATATAGAAGAGTGGGTGTCAGAGATGTCTTCTTTCCTCTACTGGACTTCCTCTCTAGATTCTGTTGTTTCCTTGGCACTTAGCTACTCAGAAACTATAACTAGTGTAGGGAAGCAGGTTGGAAGTTGCTCTTCCTCACATTTTGCTCTCTTGCACAGAACACATGACTATTTCCTCAGATGCCCCAGAATTGTGGCAAGTCTATGTAACCATGGCTTGACTGTGCTACTGACATCCTTGACTTATTCAGAGCAGCACCACAATTGCCTCTGTTCTAATCACCAACATTAAACTGAGGGACAAAGATTTCAAGGGAAACATCTTACAAAGATCAATTTGTGGCTCTCAAGATTGGCCAATACACCGGGCAGGTGTTTATAATCCCTGATCATATCAGATCCATGAATTCTTCTGCAGTTGCAAAGTGTATCCTCCAGCATTATAAGGTAGAGCACCTAAAACTTCCTCCTCTAGATTTTCCTTATACCAATAAACCACTTGAGAGACCCAATATTTTAATTAAGATTTTAAAAAGAATAATGCTATGGCTTCTGCAGAATAGTGTGCATGTATGTGAATGTAGTTTTAGAGATAGAGATGATAGGGATAGAGAAAACTGGTGCAAAACTGTACAGTGCAAAGCCATATCTCCCTTTCTGATTTTCCATTTTTATTTGAAGACAACTCAGCAATACCAGATCTTCTCACACAACCTCCAAAGAGATTTTTTAAAAAAAATCTGGGTTTATTTTTAGGGTACCAATACTCCAAAATCGAACTCTGGGGGGTTCACAATATCAAACAGTCAACACGAGTAAAAAAAAAAAAAAAATACAGTGTCAATAAAGAGCATCCCTTTAATCAATGCATTGCAGAAACCAATATAATAAGCCTCTCCAAAGGAAGCCATCTAAGACGGGCCTTTGCCTGACAGCAAACGTACATTGTTTGAAATTCTTTCTGTTTATGTAGTTCAAGACTTTTATTATGTGTTCTAGTTCTCAATAGGTACTACAGTTGGTTTTTAGCACTCTTCTTCATTGCTGTAACCAGTTCAACCTCCTGAAAACTAAAGCTGACCAAGATGTTCCTTCTGCCCCTGTTTCCAGAATTTCTTTGAGGGGTATTTGATAATCTTCTCTCTCCCTTAGTATATAGTGGAAATGAAAAATTATTGAAAATTGGACTTTGGGGAATGCTAAGAAAAAGAGTGCTTGTGGGGTGGGGGAGGGAGAGGAAGAGGGTTCAAATAAATGAAAGTAAATGAAAGAAAACTCCAGCCAAACTGGACCCAAAAATTATGGATGGGAAACAGCGAAGGTTGCAACTGTCCCACAAATCTGCTGTTTATTTTTACTAACTTTTTTTTTTCTTCGTCTATACTTGTATTTCTGGTTTGCAACTCTTTGGTGCCCCCCAGAGGATACATCTTCCAAATTTAAGCAGGGAGAGGGTTGTCTCCCACTACATTTCTCACACAGTTAAACAGGCTTAGACTCTTCATGACTGGATCATCTCTTCTACCATTAATCTAATCATCTGAAGGGGGAAATTAGAAATAGAAGTTATGTTACATTGCCTTTTTCCTCCCTTATCCACTGCAGCCAATAGACTTCCCTTGAATTCAGAGATGATGCATTTCTGTTTGTGGGATTTTCAGTGCTGATCTCAGCTGTTCAGCAACAGCAGTAAAAGGAAATCTGATACAGCAAGTGAAGGAGGGATGGGACAGAGAGAGAGAATGAGAATAATGTTGTTCTCTTTGGAACTTGAGAGGTGTATATAGCCACAGATTTTACTATGGACTTAAGCCCTCTACTGGAATTGAACCCCAAAGGGTTTGAAGCCTATTGTAAGATGTATGGCTACATAAGCCTGACCACTTCCAGATAAACAAAATTATCTACTGCCTCCTCAAGGTCAATGTAAGTAAAAACACCAGACAGCATATATACTGTGCAAACAATAGAGAAATCCCCTTCCTTCTAAGGTGGTGTGGGTGGAAGTCCTGTAAGACTTCTTAAAATGAGGGCATGAAATTATACAAAATCAATGCACCTGAATGCTTAAGAAAAGGAACATGGACTGTATATATCATTCTACAGATGGGGGGAGGGGGTTAATCTGTTCTGTATTTTCCATAATTAAAAAAATAGGAATGTTTATAAAGCCCACAACCAAAAGCAAGGAAAGTCCCTCTATACAGGTATTGGAGAGATCAGTCCGCTATTCATTGGCTTGGATTCTCCATGCCCAGATCATCTTAAACTCCTTCTTGCCTCCCTCGCAGTCACATGACCCAGAGTCCATGATCACCTCCATGCTTAGAGGTTTCCATTACAGCTCCTTATTCTAGGCCACCACTGTCAGCTGACTTCCTATATGAAACCTCTCTTCTGGTTGCTGTTGCTGCTCTTTGGGGAACTCCTACATATATCCAACATGCTATCAGGCCAGCAGTCAATCGCCACTGGCCACTTTACCAGCTGAACTCTGTCCAGGATCCTGTCTTGACTTTTTGACATGGCTTCTTCTTAGGCCCTGGAATGCTCACAAACTGTGGAGGTGTCATCAGGTTTCTCTCTACCCCTCGCAGTGCCATGTCCCTCAAGCCTGCCAGCCTTCGATATCCCTTCCATTCCTGCACAGACATCTCCCAGGTGGGTGTTATGTGTTCTAGAAATGGAACAATGGAGGCAGGTGTGCAGATAGTGCAATTGTTCCAGTTCACCTAGATGTTCGATCACAACATAGCAGGTTGAAATAGATGAAATCTCTTGAAATCACCCTCATGAGATTCCCACATTCACTCATATGAGAGTGAATAATTTGGAGGGGTAGATCACATGCCTGATGCAGAATTCTAAATATCAGTATCAATCTCGGTACTGATTCATGTCAGCACTCCCTGCCTGAAAATATGGGTGACCTCCTCCAAAGGGATGATTGGTTTATTTGTCATTTCTTAATAAATAAAAATATTTCCTCTTGTTTATTAAACCACTCTTTTCATTTTGCATAGAAAATGGAAACTCTGTTCCCATTTATTTGTTAGTTAGTTTGTTTAATTAATTAATTTATATAGGGGCCCATTTCAGCAACTGATTCTTCCTCACTCCATTGCAAGAAATAAACATGAATTTCAACAAGTAATCCTCTTTTGTATTGCCAATCTCCCTCATACTACCTGAATTGGCATTTGTTCATTCAAAAAAAAAAAAGAAAAAGAATTTAAACATCAGCCCCTTTTATCTCACAAATGATGATGATGATGATGATGATGATGATGATGATGATGATGATGATCTCCTACAGGAATCACCCTATTTTCTCAGCTCAGCCAAAACATCAAAGGCCGTGCAGAAGGCTATTCAAATTCAACAACAATCAAGAGTCAAGCATCAGTTTGGTTATAAAGTAACTCTTGAACCACAGGAGACTGGCACAAGGGGCAATAATGGCTCTGTCAGATTCATTGCTACACATTCCCTCCCTTCTGTCTCATCTGCCAGAATATCTGTTCAGATCCTGGTGATATTCGAGATATGAATTTGCACTCACATGGATCTTAAAATAGACAATGGTGGATTTTCTCATTAGGTATATTCTCAAATATAAACCTTGGATTAATCATTGGAAGAACCATCAGATTAATACATACTTCTGTAGGTATAGGACAGAAGACACCGACAGTTTCACCCTAATAACAGAGTCAAGATGTTGCTCCTCCTGGTTTTCCTGGTGAACAAAAGACTTATCTTGAGCTGTCCTGCAAGTGATGCCTTCCCTGTCCCACATGAATGGTACCAGCCTGGTGATCTGGTCATTGGTGGGATGGTGTCTCACATTGCTTACCAGTTTAATGACATTGAATTTAAGAAACATCCTTCTCTAAAACCTTTTGAAATCCCACTGTAAGGATTTTTTTTTCTTCCCATGCATTTTCTAATTTTGTCAGATCCCCAAAAATTGATTATATGAATGAGGACCATTGGAGCATAAATGCAGGTTCTTGTATATAATCTAAATCTTCTTTGTGTTTTAAATGTATCTGGTTGTGGAAGAAGGAATAATTTTCTTTACATTAAAGTCTTTCTGATGACATTTATGAAACTTCGGTGGAAAAAGTTTTTTGAAGAGTATTTAGTGAGCTTAAGTTCCTTTTTTTTAAAAAAAAAACATCTGTTATCACTTCACACAAAACAAACATATTAAAGGAGTGACACTTGCTGAATCCATTTGTAATCTATTTTGTGCTAAATTGAAAGAAAATAAATGAGGTAGCTTGGTAACTACTTTTATTAGCTGCAATATATATTTGTTGCAAATCATGGAAATACTGTGTAAAAAGTGTATTTGAATTCTGTACAATTCTTTTTAGTATTTTAGAAAAGCTGTCATCTTCCTACTTCCATTACAGACAGAAACGTTTCTTATTCATATAGAGATGATGCCACATTACAACAATAGTAAAATTACTTTTTCAATGGGTTTATTTATCCTATTGGCAGTATAACAACCAAATTCTACCAGCACGTCCTTGCCTTGGCCTTTGCTGTGGAGGAGATCAATGAGGACTCCCAGATCTTGCCTACCATCACTCTCGGGTTCCACATCTATGACAGTTACCACAAGCCAAGGATGAC